ATAAAACCTGTAATAGGTTTGTTATTGCTCTACATTACATTTATTTTATTGTATTCTAAAGGTATGTGTTTTTGAGAATACATATATCTCTGCAGCAAAAGAATGGACCTGCAAGTGATTTTGATCTGCAAGCAAAATTATAAGTGTTTACTATGAAAGTGCTGATACAGTGATGATATGTGCCATGCACACTTAGTTAGAACACTGATTAGCTTGTTTAATAGAATATCTCGGACAGCTCTAAAACAAAAAAATAATAATTTGCTGAAGTTAAAGTGACACTAAACTCCGAAGTTAAATCTTAAAACTGCATTCAAGTAACTTAGCTATTAACAAAAATGTATCTTATTTGTGTATCACTCAGCTGTAGATCATCAAATCATCTCTGAATTGGTGCTGACACTGTCCTTCCTTCTGTAGGGTGGCTACTTTTGATCCCCATGGTCCCTGTGTGTGTTGTAAAGTAGGCACCACTCCAAGCTCACTCCTGTGATGGACTACAATCGCAATACAAATTAGTATACTAAATGTGACGCTCAGTCTAGAGTTTCACCCAGCTCACTGACATCACCAGTTGCCTAGAGCTGAGAAGGATGCTCTGGCTTGCAACCCGGTGAGCTCCTGGCAAACACTGATGTCAGTGAGTTGGGCAGGAGGCCAGGCAGAGCCACTAACAGTGTGGTCCACCATGAGGTTGCAGTGTTCCTGTTCCTTGGATAAGCAGCAAAACATCTTCAACATTCCACAACAAGTCTAGCTAAATGTGACTAACTATTACTCGCTGTACTAGTCAGGAAGAATTACTAAAGTCCAGTGTAAGGGGTAACTAGAGGCAAATGTCAAAACCAGAACAAGAGACACACATGTAGTCTGACAGCACAGTCAAGGTCAAGGCATGCAGAGTACTAGTGAGACAAGAGCAGTGAAGTCAATCCAAAGAGGAGTTGCACCTACAAGCTAAAACACTCTAGAACCAGCAACTTGTGAGCATTAGATTACTGAAAGGTCCACTTTAAGCTGTTAAGCAGAGCCTAAAGTTTCTGTCCATAAAGTTCACACAGGCATATGGACTCTAAAGGGAAGTCTGCAGCGCTGGAGGAGCCAACAGAAGAAGCCAAAGAGCAGCAAAACCCAGGAAGTGTATCAGAGAACTTCTGACCTGATGGAAATTGATTGGATCCCAGCTGCCTGGCTGGAAGAGAGCCCCACAAGCAGGGCCGGTGCAAGGATTTTTGCCTACACAGGCGAAGGTGCATTTTTGCTCAAATCATTATTTTTACTTTCTTTTGATTTGGAAAGCAAATTGTTTTTAATTAAACAGAAGATTCTGCTGGATTAATCAAAACACATTTTTAGTAGAATAATAAAGTGACAGTGTTTTTATTGCTGTGCATGCCTTCCTGTCCGGGTGATGCTTGCACCCCTCATTTCTTGTATGGGCAACACTGGGGCAAGAAATGAGGGAACATTTTCCAGAGTGCAGGTATAGACCAATGAAAAAAACTGTAAAAAATAAGTTTTAACATTTCTCTACTCTATCTAAACCCCCTAAAATTGCTGGATTTAGACTTTATTTACATCAATTGTTGGATTCTTAATCATAGTAGTTTGGTGGTGTGGCAAGTAGTTTCATTGAACTGTATAAGAACTTTATGACCTCTAAATTATATATATTCACTAGCGTGACAGTTTAATTATGTGAATATGACTAATAGACATAAGCATTTTTTTTATATAAATACTTTATTATGCTCGATACTGGCATAACTCTGCTACACTTTTATAGTTTTTAAAATACATTTTGTGGATATATTGTATTAGTTATACATGTAATATACAATATAATGTTAGTTTCTAGGTAGTACGCTATGTTATATACTGGGTTTTTGCCTTATTAATAGGTTACCTTCATAAGTACATTTCATTTTTGGCATTCTGTATTAGTTGTTTTGCATAGGAAGGTGATCTGTGACTTTACAATTGTCAGAAACAATGAACACATGAGCAAACAGTCCTGGGCTTTCTGATTTTCTGTCTTAGAAGCACGTTATATTAAACATTTATTAGTGAAATATACGCTTTGTAGTACTATAACATTATAAAAATGTCAGTTAATAAAAATAAATATTTTAAATATAGTAAAGCAAAAAATCTGACCAAAATCAATATGGCTTCAATAAAAAGCATTATTGCATTCTTCAACAATGCATGTTGAAGAATATTGTATTCTTCAACATGCAGAATACAATATTTATATATACATATCATTTGTTTCCTCTATTATTTTAACTTACGGATTTGCTTTTTCTTTTGATAAAATATTTATCCTCATTGGAAGACATTGGTGGCAGAATCAAAAGGGGACTGCAAGCAGACGTTGGGGAAATTGCTCACCTCTAGTGCTGAAGCTAGCTCAAGCTAGGAACAGATCCCAGATTCATAGCCAGTAGCCAAAAGAAATGTTTAAAGCAGAACTCCGGGAGAAACATTTCCTAACCCCTGCAGTGGTGCTACGGCAGTGGGTTAAGTGCTCATTTGTGTCTAGGTTCAGAAATAACAAAGTTGGCATTGGTCCTGGATCTTGCAGGGAGTCTGGTGTCTCGCCTAGGCAGTTCTGTGCTATGTCTGCTAACCATCTAAAGTTCAGCCATGCACAGTGTCGCCACAAGGGGCTTACAGGCACTCTGCACTGTGAGGTTGGGGAGCAGTTGGTGAGTCTGGAATCTGTACTGTCCTAGGTGTATGTAGCCCTTTACCCTTTCTACCATGTGAGCTCTCAGGGGAAGAAAATCTGTGGAAAACTTTAACGTGACTGGCACCCAACTTTACATTTGCAACCCACAATGGCTAACGATATACCCTTGAGGTGTCAGCCCACCCTGACTCTGGGGTGTATCTCACATGCTTCTGGAGGTCAGGGGGTGCATATTGTGTATGTATATAAATACACACTATGGTATTTGCCGCCTGAGGTGATTTCGTTACCAGGGGAAGATGGGATTTGGGGTTGTTGCTAACAGCCTGACAGTGTCACTGGTTCACTTCTCACTAGGGGGGGGTCAGGGGCGGTGGTGGACCACACTGTTTGTGGCTCTGTCGGGCTTCCTGCCCAGCTCACTAATGTCAGAGGTTGCCAGGAGCTCGGCGGGATGTTTAGCATAGTATACTAATTTGTATTGAGATTGTAGTCCTTGATGGGAGTGAGCTTGGAGTGGTGACTACTTTACAACACACACACAGGGATCATGGGGAACAATAGTAGTCACCTTCCAGAAGCAAGGACAATGTCAGCACCAATTCAGAGATGATTATGGCCAGGTTCCCACCTGCAGGATCCGTGACCGCGTGGCAATCGTGCACTATAACGCGCGGATTGGCGTGCGGTCATGGAGTCACTCACCACTGCCCGCAGTTGTAACCCTATTGAAATCAATGGACTGCGCGGCAGCCGCTGTGTGCAACTGCACACGATTGCCTGGGACGCGTGTCCCAGATCGCCTAGGCCTGCACCAGCCCTTCAGGATCTATAGCCGAGTGATCCACAAATAAATTACATTTTTGTTAATAGATAAGGTACTTAAATGCATTTTTAAGACTTAACTTCTGAGTTTAGTGTCACCTTAAGGTCCCATATGTACAACTAATGCTTTAAGCAACAAACGTGACAGAATTTCCAAACCTTTCCCACTAAATCCAAAACTAGAAAAAAAAGGAGTTATAAACTATTAACTTCGTAACTCTATAAGGAAAGATCAAGAGACCTGAGTTTTGTCTAGTGATCAGATCCCCCTCACTGCATTATGGGAATCGTGTGTCATCTCCAATGACTTCATAGGGGATTCCTTTGATAGCTAGACAGACAGGAGCAGCGTGTGCAGCAGATTATTAATGAACTTCATGGAGATGTTTTTGCACACTAGATCTGCACATGTTAATTTACTTACAATAGCTGCCATTAGTTCTACTGCACACAACACAAGCAATACAAATCCAATAACTGCATAGTTGTATTTATAGTTAGCTTAAAATTATAATGGGGTATAATATATATCTTACATCATACAGTAGTTAGGTCAAAAAAAGACACAAGTCCATCGAGTTCAGCCTATAGCAAGGGTACACAGTGCATGCCAGCTGTCGTGAAACTACAAATCCCACCATAGCTGTGTCCCTGGGAGTTATATCTGTGGTTGTCATGGGATTTGTAGTTCCACAACAGCTGGAGTGCTGAGTTTGCCTACTCCCACTTATAGAGTAAAGAAAAAAAAAAGCATAGGAAAACATCCATAAACAGAACCCTATGTCTGCAGGTACCCAAAGTTGATCCAGAGAAAGGCAAAAAAAAACTAAAAAAGCATAAATCAAAAGTGACTAATAAATATGTTCACTTCATTGTCCATTCTGTATGGGGAATGGAGATATGGTCCCTTTAAGGTTCATGAGACTGGTGACAATATACCAACCCACCTCAAATTTTCAGCCATGTGCAGAAAACAGAAACAAGATCTACAATGTAACCCTGTACCCCCAGCTAGGACTTTTCCAGTTAGTTGGTGTGGATGTTACAACGACGTACGGCGCTTTGTCATACCGCTGAAGCCACAGCTAGCATCATTTAAATAAAATTGAATTTGTACACAAACCACATAATTGTGCCGTAACAGCCTGGAGAACAGACAGCCTGAGCAGACATTAAAAATCGATTTCCCCGACACTGCCTTTTTCAATCTGCAGTCTCCTATCCATCTGTATATACTACTAGCATCAATGCACGTCGTACTATGCAAGATATTTTAAAAACCTTTTAAAAAAATGACACGCTCTTAGCCTTGTTTATGTCTTTCAGCATCAGATCCATTGAAGCTGTGAAAGTTCTCTGCAGCATCCCTCTGAGGATAAAGAGCAAACGGCATGCAAGGTGAGCGGTCCAGCAATGCAGCATCCCACCCTCCTAGACACACACAGAACACATGGTAGCAGCCTCCGTCTTTGGCACTCACCTCAACCGTAGGAGACGCACCCTTGTCTCGCAATGTGCAGCCCAGAAGCTCGGCGAAAAACTTTGCCATATACAAGCAGTGTGGATAGGTGACGGCCACGAGCAGCAGATTTTGCAGTAAAATTGTGTTGAAGTGTTAATTATCCAGAGTTCTCCGGGAAGATGTTCTCAGCGGTGAGGCGAGCACACAAATTCCGCTTATGCCACACAGTCCCTAGTAGCAATAGTAAGGTGCAGCTCCATGCGACGACGACGTGTCAGGTCCAGCATTGTGCTGGGTAGACACAGGGGGGGACTTAAAAAAAAGAGGAGCAATCACTAGCTGCTGTCTAGGCTTTTGATGTCTGTTCCTATAGCCTTTCCAGCTGAATGTCACTATTACCATAGTAAAAAAGAGAAGGGCCCACACAGGGGGTAAAGAGAGGGACAACGCTGCAGCTCCCAGCCAACACAACACTGCTTCAAACTCTTTGGCTTCAGGGATGTGTAATGCACAGCACAGCTACTGCTGCAAGCGTGTGGGTGCATTAATAAGGTGGGTGATGGCTTTGTCACCGGCACTGCAAGACAGCTACAGACTTGGGACAAATAAATCTGCTTTTTAAATTTGCTACAGACACTGTTATCACTTAGATCTGAATTGCTAAAGTTAGCAATTGCCAGTATTTACATGACAGCGTTTGTAAAATTGGTATGATTCTTTTTAATACTTGACTGTGTTCAATTTCCCTTAAACTGGACATACACTATACAGTCAGTTTGTACAATCTTTGTATGATCTCCTTTAAGCTGGACATACACTATAGCTGGGCTCAACATTTCAAGTCCTGAGCTACTAGCCAGACCTTAAGAGTTACTAGCCACCAGTTGCCCCACCTAACCCTTACCATGGCCCGGCCTTAACTCCGCCCCTAGACACACCCTCTTAAATAATCTTATGATAATTCTTATCTCATAATAGTTGCCGCTTGTAAACGGCAGATTAGGGATTCCTGCTGCAGGAAAACGTAAGTTCCTGACACAAGAATCTCTAATCACACCTGAAATATACTGTAGGTGTGAATGGGGCATAATATACATATACAGTAAAGGTGTCCATACACCTGCCGATTATCGTACGATAATCGCGGGTGATCCTACAATCATACGATAATTGGCAGGTGTATGGGCAGCGTGCGACCGCTTCTACTGTTAGGTCGTACGACTTTCGTCTTCCAAGCACGCTGGAAAACCTGCCGAAAATGGTACGATTTTTGGAGGGTTGGTGGCGTGGTCGGAAGACGAATGCCGCACACTCAGCGGGGAGGGCTTGCGATGATCGCAAGTACAATGCGCATGTCCAAGATGGGCAGATCATACAAGATTTTAATGACCTTAAAACCATCGCACAACGAAAGTCGTGCAATGGTTGTAAGGTGTATGGGCAGCTTAACACAATAATACACTTACCCTGAGCCCCCTCACCTGTTCACATCTTTGCAGTGAGGAGGCTGTGAGCAGGATCGATCCCAGGTTATCTGGAGGTGGTTCGTGAGGTCTGCATCCCAGATAACCAGGGATCGATCCTCCTCACATACATTCTTTCTTTTTCGGCCGGAAAGTCAGTTTGTACCATCTCTGTATGATCTCCTTTAAGCTGGACATACACTATACAGTCAGGTGTGCAATCTCTGTATGATCTCCTTTAAGCTGGACATACACTATACAGTCAGTTTGTACAATCTCTGTATGATCTCCTTAAAGCTGGACATACACTATACAGTCATAAATAAATCGCCATCAATTTATGCAGTGCTTTAAATAGCCCACATTCACATCAGTTCCTGACCTCAAAGAGCTTACAATCTAAGGTCCCTATCTCACATGTACATGTATTCAGGCAATTTAGATACGATATTCAAAGTTAAAGAGGAACTCCAGGAATCTAAAAAGGTTACCCTTGTAGTGGAGCTACCCCTGCACTGCAAGGGTTAAGTGCTCATTTTGGTCTAGGGGGTCTATAAAGAAAATACACTCACCTAATCTTTAAACTCACCTGGCTGCTAAACCGGTCCCTGCAGCCTCTTCTCCCCAGGGTTCCAGCCCTGCTGACATCACATCTAATAAAGTCCATTCACCAGCATTAGACATGAGGATACCAAGGGACATAACACAGCCAGGGCCGGATTAACTTAGGGGCGTGTGGAGATGCCGCTCCAGGCCCACCCCTGCAAAAAGGCCTGGCCAACCCGGATCGCCTCGGTATCTGCCTGAATAGAGGGCCGCTGCTGCCTTCATTGCTTTCTGGTTCCGGGAGGCCCACACTGACCACCCGGAGCCCGCGCTGAGCACCCGAAGCCTGTACTGACAACCCGAAGCACGCACTAACCACCCAGAGCCCCTACTGACCGCCCAGAGTCTGCACTGACTGCCCAGAGCCTGCACTGGCCACCAGAGAGCCTGCACTGACCACCAGAGAGCCTGCACTGACCACCAGAGAGCCTGAGCAGCCTCCTGAGAGCCTGCACAGTCCCCCTAAACCCTGCACAGCCCTCCCTAAACTCTGGAGACATCAGGCCGTGAACTCGAAGCAACACAAGCAACACATGGTATTCTGCATTGCTGTATAAAGTATTGCTGGGTTTTGTAGTTCTCTATAGCTGATGGTATTATTCTGCAGTCCTTAACAATGTATTGCAGGGATTTGTAGTCCTCTATAGCCGGTGCCATGCTGCATTGCTTTATAATGTATTGCTGGGAATTGTAGTCTTCTATAGTTGGTGGTATACTGCATTGCTGTATAATGTATTACTGGGATTTGTAGTCTCTCTACAGCTTGGAGTCAGTGGCAGATCTACCACGCTCACAGCTGCAGCCAGGCCCTGATGCTCCACCACTGACTCCAAGCTGTAAAGAGACTACAAAATCACAGCCCGGACAAGAGAAAGAGGGCCCTGGTGACTGTTGACATTTCCATAAGAAGGCTCACCAAAATCCTCAGCACCAGGCCCGTGATGCTCTTAATCTGGCCCTGACCACAGCTGGAGCAGAGCGGGAGAGAAATGAGTGCTGACTGCTGGAGAACCGAGGGTCAGGTGAGTATATCTTCTTGATTTGCACCCATAGAGGAAAAGTAGCAGGTAACCCTTGCAGTGCAGAGACAGCCCTACTGCAAGGGTCAACGTTTTAGATTCCTTAAGCTTTTCCTTAAGAGTAAAAACTGGTGCCAGTCCTACAACTCTGTAAAGCTTAACTCCTCCCAATACGGCAAATATTTCAAACAATACACTTAATTCATAGAGATACCGTAACGGAAACCTAATAACACTCTAATTTATAAATAGACATAATAAACCTATAATCCATTTAGCACATACTGTATAGAGACATACACCTTTAAAACCACTAAAATATATATACCAACGGAAGAGTATTTATTCAAATTCCTATATGTCCATCATATATCCTTCACGCAGCTTATATCCCGTTATCAAAGAGAAAACGGTACATATGTATATACTGTATCTCTTCTGGTGCACCAAACCAGTATATCAGAAACTGTCATCTGTAAATTGTAAGGGTATTGTATGAGATATTTGCCTGATTTAGACCCGAGCCAATTAACCTTATGAGGACAAACCTAAATAACGAATACAGTTAATATTAAATCAGGATGGCACATGCACTACATAGTTGATGGTAGAGCTAAAGGAGATTGTACAATTTCTTGTAGATTTACCAACACTATTTAATATGAGACCATTTATTCAATTAGTATTAAATCAGGCAGGCCCTTGCACTATATAGTTAATGGTAGATCTATAGGAGACTGTGCAATCAGACCCTTTAGTCACCATTAAGTAACTAAACTATACAACCTAATGCAGCTGGGCTCCAGGCTGTAGGAGAGGCTGGCAAAGTAGAGAGGTGGGTGGGAATGTGGGTGTGACATTAGGAAGGAGGGATGGAGCTGTGTGGGAGTAGTGAAAAAAGCAGTGTAGTAGTATCTAAGCACAGTGCAAGGCATGCAGAAATGTGGATGTGGTTCTTAGTATCTATTCAAAGGCATTTATAGGGACTAAATGGACATAGAAATGTAAAGATACAGGGTGAGAGATGTTAAAATGGCATGCTGAAGCAAATATGAAATTTTTGTGTGACGCATTAAAGTGTACCCATAGTCAGATCAAAAGAGAGGAGCTAAGCGTATATGAAAATAGAGCATGATAATAATAAATGGGCAGCACAGTGGCGTACTGGCTTGCACTTCTGTCTTGCATCACTAGGGGTCCCTGGTTTGAAACGCGGTCAGGACACTATCTGCAAGGAGACAGTGTTTTCCCTGTACTGATTTGTACACCCAGCCTTCTTCTCTACATCATGGTTTCAATCACAGTCCCCATAAAAGTGATCCTAATGAATGACATATCCCCCAGGTAAGATGGTGGCACCTATCCTCAGGGCCATCCCTATCATGATGTTGTAGGCACCCACAATGGAGGGGAGGGGGGTGCTACAGCATCCCAGGTTGCTAAGACTTTTTAGCAACCTGTGATGCTCTGTCCGGCTTCCTGCCCAGCTCAATGAGGTTGCCAGGAGCTAAGTGGGATGCTCATTTTCAATATTTTTAAATCTGCAGCTTACATTAAAATGATACCTGGTGATCCTGACATGAAAGTCCTTGTTCAGGTACTTCCTGGTATAGAATGACAACGCTGTGTCCCTGTCACCCCATTTTTCACCTGCATTGTCACCCTGGTTTCAAATGGAGACTACAAGTTGCTGTTCCAACACACATTGCAATGTTGCCACCATGGAACCCCCCCAGCCCCTGAGAAATGCCATACTAGCCATTGCTGGAGTACACGTAGACAGAAAGTGGATGCAAAGAGGCTGCGGTAGATCAGCAGTGTAGAACATTAATGAAGTAGAAAAAAAATGGAAAAGAGGTATTTTATGTTTTAAAACTGTATTTTTATGATACATCCTGCTTCAGTACTGCACCCCTTACTGGTGGGGCAAGTATGATGTATTATTTCAGCTTGGTTAGTAGTGGTTATAGTATTGTATCCAGTATTATTATACAGGATTTATATAGCGCCAACAGTTTGCGCAGCGCTTTACAATACAAGGAAGACATTACAATCACAATGCAATTCAAGACAAGATGGTAAGGAGGGCCCTGGCCGTGAGGGCTTACAATCTAAACTCATCCAACTTTAAGATGAATTCCGATTTAAAACATGTTTTTATTAGAGATAACACAGGCAATAAAACATAGGAACAGGACTGCATATGCCCAAGTTATTTGGACATACAAAATACAATCTTATCACCCAGTGCGCCTTACTCTACCCCATCCCATATGAATGATTATGCAGACAGAACATCAAAACAACAGATAGGTGCAGCTGTATCCCTTCCTGGCCTAGATCTTTCAAAGTGATAAAAGTCTCCTATGGGAAACATTTAGGTTATTCTAAGAAAT